CTGGCCATGGTATTTCCCTGGGGAATTCAGGTTTTTAAAAAACACTTGCACTATGCTTACTCCTATCACAATACCAGGATCAGGGTGGCACTTCACATTGAAACCAGCTTTTTTTTCTTGACAATAATTCCAGAATACTTACCAGAGTCACACTTCAGACGAACACCGGCACTACCTGCAACGCAGAAACAAAGCTTTATGGGGGGCACGTCGTGCTGTGGATTGTTTGCACAACGTTCTGTTTCTCTCAATGGATACTGTAAACCTGATCAGAAACGTAGTCAACTGCTACAGTAATCAAAACAGCATGGTACTGGTACCAAAACAGAGATGTAGACCAATGGAACAGAACAGAGCTTCGTTGGACAGGACAGAACCAGTGGCCACAGAGGCCTGGGATAGATGTTCTGTCCCCGCAACACAGCAGGGAGCACGCTTCATGGCGTGCTGATGCTTACTGAATGGTACAACTGAGGACTGGGTGGTTCTGTTTGACACGGCAAGTCTACTTCACCACTACAGGCAGTGCAGCATGTTAGTTTACAGATTAGCCTTTGGTGTTAGAGAGATCCAGCTGTGGGTGTGTCTCATGAATAATTTACTTAACTGAGACTCACACTCCTGATCTGTATAATGAATAGAACCAAATTAATAATGCCTCAAAGTGACTGTGATGCTTCAAGGAGGCAACATAGAGAAGTGACCACATGGCATCCAAGACTCAAATGTGTATCAGTCATCTTTTTCATTTTAATAACTTAAGCAGTTGTTATTAAGGACAGTCATGTGGCATAGTGACATTTTGATCAATGATTACTTACATGGTTGGGGTCAGATGGCCGTACACAAACCTACCGGCCTGCATCATTAGATTAAAACAAAATTTTTGGTTAAAACTTTTAAGTAAGATACCATACAAATGAAAGACTATCCACAGTGATGGAATTTTTAGGGAGAGATAAAACTAAGTTCACAAGGATTTGGAGAAATGTCTCCTCACATATGCTGCTATGGGAGCATGAATTAGCATCACCATTTGGAAAGAGATTTGGCACTATTCATGACAATAAAAGATATGTTCCCTTCTAACCATCTACTTCACATAAATGAGTGCCAGTAGTATTCCAAAACCATTGACAAAAATACTCAAAGCAACATTACTTCTCACAGCCATCAATATTTAAAAACAGAAAAAGAAAATTCGATGTCAATCAACAGTAGAGTGGATAAACTGTAACAGGTGACTACGGTGGAATGGTATGCAGCAAGGAAATGGAAGAACTACAGTTACACTTACGAACATGAATGAATTTCAAATCATAATGGGAGTGAAAAAGCCAGACACCGAGAAACACATATTGACTTATTCTATGTATAATAGTCCAGACCTGGAGAGGTCTAAACAAGTCATTAGCAGTCACAGCAGGTCCCTTAAGGGAGAAGATTAAAGGAGGAGGGAAATTTCCGGGAGGAACAGGGATGTCTGCACCTGTGCCATCTCACCCTCTCAGATGTCAGGGTCCCAAAAGAGGGTGCTGGCAATATTTAGGTGGTTCAAAGGTGTCATGAAGAAAAGCAAATGACAGACAGCAGCAAACTCAGGTCTTTAACGAAGTTCCCCAGACTGGATAGAGGGTGCCACTTAGTTTTGTATCTTATTATGTAAAATGAGGATCCCCCAAAGATAAAAATGTCGTCTGTAGCATGGACAGAATTATGTGCTATCAGCACATTTTATCATATGGATTTTCCTGCACAACTTTTAGCAATCTGTGAATGAAAGGTCCAGAGCTTAACTTATAAATATCAAATTAGAGAACAAAGGAAGCCTAATTTTGGAAGACAGGAAATAGTGTAATGCCATCTTCTGTGGGAAGGAACTCTTGGTTTCCCCAAAACTTAGAGAACTGGAGAGAAAGAAGCCTCATCTCAGAATCTGTGGTAGGGGTGGGAAGTGGAGGCTACAAATGTGCTCAAGGTCAAACTTCTCCCCTGCCTTCCCAGGAGACTGGAAATGTACCAGTGAGCCCAGAGTGAATATTCACTCTGCCATCCACCCCTGGAAGACCCCTTTAAACCCACAGAGAGGACAGAAACCTAAATGTGCTATAACAAGTCTTAAAAGTTCAGAGGGTGATTATCAATTTCCCCTTGGCACATGCACTTTTTCTCTAAGTTCAAGTCAATGCCTGTGAGAGAAATGTTCCCACAGATTCCTTCCTTCCTTTACAGATGACACTCAATGCCCAGTCCTACATCCCTTGTGCATAATCCCAAGAAGTGCTGATTAATCCAAACCAAAGGTTTTGATGTTTCACTGGGCAGAAAAGTGCGGGCATACTGCAAAGATCATCTCTAAGGAACACAGCACCCTCACAGCCCAGAGAGACAGTTCCTACCTTTACGACAACAAACTTTGAAAAGGACAATCCCAACCTCACTCACATTTTCATTTTCTTTCTGATATGATACTCCCTTCTTCAGCCCCTCAAGCAGCGGGGATAACCTGAAGGCTCTTAGGAAACCTTTCCCATTAGGCCCTACCTGGAAAGTAGTTCCCTACCTTGGGGGTTATCTTCATTCATTCAGAAGATGCTCCCCAGAATCCAGCCTTTAGAAACAAAAACATCAGGACAAGTCATTAGAAAGAGTGACTCACCCACTCCTCTTCCTCCAGCTGAAGCCACACTGCCTCACACATGATTCCCTGGTCTTTGTTCTGAGTTGATAAACCTTCCTACAGCCTCTCTGGCTGGAGTTCTATATTGGCCAAATCACTTTCTCAGGAGATCCCCAATCCTCCTTCCCAGCGGGATCCCAGAATCAGGTTTCTATACACTCAAACAGCAACTCATGATGTGAGTTACTTCAGGATCCTTGCTAATCACTCCCTCCTGGGATGTTTTCTGCAATTAAAGAAAAGAAAATATTAGGAGGATGAGATTCTGCAGTGCCCTTCACATACAGCCGTTATTCCCTTGGTAAGGGTGGAAAACCAGAAGCGATACAGTGGCTGAGCCATAGGTCAACAGCCCCAAAACCATGAGGATGCTTATGGAAAGATAAGATCTTTATTCACAGAATTCACCTTTAAAGTGGATTTAACAGGCTTAAATCCAAGCACACAGTGCTTAATCCAAGGAGGAAAATGTGTTGAGGACAGTGCCTCTGCATTCCAGCTGATAATGGATGCTGTCATTTGAAAACCTCCCAGTGTATTGCATGTTAGTTGGGAAGACACTCCCACTGACTTTCACCCTCACAAAGAGAATTGCACATGCTGTACATAATGTACATTGTCAGATTTTCATATCAAAATTAATTGAGAAGAAATCAGAAAAGCAAAATGTCTTGCAAAGACAAAGAAAAGGAGTCTTTTTTGCCTTGGGGATCGTCTTCATTCAGTTTGAAGATGCTCCAAGAATCCAGCCTTTAGAAACAAAAACATCAGGACAAGTCATTAGAAAGAGTGACTCACCCACTTCTCTTCCTCCAGGTGAAGCCACACTGCCACGATTTTAGGCTCATAGGGCTGGCATAGTTGTCTGAAGACACTGGAAGGACACAGAGGAAAGCTCAGCACCCTGGTGGTTGGTGGCTGTGAGTCACTCAGGGAACTTTGCTGGATGTGGGGTATGGAAGTGGTTGATTAACAAGCATGGACTGAGTTTCTGCTGGACCTTCCCCCTGGGTGGAAGAGGGCTGGCAAGGGAGGGCAGCAGGAAGGAGATGAGACATGGAGGTCTCTGCCTTGTACTAGAGGCATCATGCAGCAACATAAAGGAGTCAACTGAAAATGGAAACTCAAAGGCACACTAAGGTTCAATGGAAGAGTGCCTCTCTCCCTGTCACATGTTTTGAAGCTCTTCTAAACCAGTTGCATTTTCTGAATGTATTCAAGACCATGTCAGTACTGAGGACCCTGTCATGCTGGTACTACATTTATCATCTCTTTTAAAGAATGTATTACTTGGTTAAAAGCCCACTGTATGGGTGAAATTGATTCCATTTTAGCCAAGTCATTTATCACACATTCTTTTTCATATAGGTCATGAAAAAATTTAATACTAAATGCTACGATTAAAAATGGTCATGATTTCCCTTTAAAGTCTTCTTCTGGAACCATGGTGTGTGCGCACACATTTTTGGGCCCCTGTGATCAGGGGCCTAAGCAGCGTCTGTGTCACTGTCCCTGAGGAGATTCCCTAAACATCAGGCTTCATTCAAACAGGCCAAGCTCCCAGAACCTGCTTTACCTGGCAATGGGCACCAGGCTAACAACAATGTGTCTTCTGCATTCTCATGTGGCACTGGTCCTTGTCTGTCGGCCATAGATTGGAGCAATTCTGAGGCTTGAGGTGGTCATGTTCTTCAATACAATACAATATCTTCCTGACTTTTCCCTGTTTGGACCAAGCACTGAGGAGTGACCCCAGCACTAACATGTTGGCACACACTGTTCTATGCGGTTCCTTATACTTCTCAGGATCTGTGAGCTGACCAGAAGCCTTGGGCTTTCTATGTGTACTTCACAGTAATGTCCATGTTAATGG